CAGCATGGCTGGCTGGGGAATTCTGGGAGTTGAAGCTTGGCAAGTTTAAGATGGGCGGACTTCAACTCCCAGAATTCCTCAGCCAGCATGGCTGGCTGGGGAATTCTGGGAGTTGAAGCTTGGCAAGTTTAAGATGGGCGGACTTCAACTCCCAGAATTCCCCAGCCAGCCATGCTGGCTGAGGAATTCTGGGAGTTGAAGTCCACCCATCTTAAACTTGCCAAGGTTGAGAAACACTGCTTTAGAAGATAACTGGCTCATGTCTACCAAACAAGACATACAAGCAGAAATGCCTGCAGGATATGGTAAAAAAAGTCAAAATGGCAGCTGCAGGTTGACCATACCATGTGGACACTTCTGCTTACAATTTTAAAAAGAGCAATTGAAAATGCTGGGAATGCACTTATTTTACAATCCCATAGGGGTGTATACAGGAAGCACTTATGGGCTGGGTTCACACAACTTGGTAATCTGGTGCCTAAGTGAACCCATTTTCTGAATTTAAACAATGCAACAAATCATACACTCGCCAAACAGTCTGGGACTGCACAATATGCTAAACAACAATACCATCACCAAGGTTAAAGCTAATCAAGCATGCTGTGTGAATGCAGCCATTAAGTCTTTCCTAGAGCTGCGCAAAGCTTCAAAGGGATGTTTCGCTTTGAAGGTTCATGCAAAGCATCTCTGCTTTGTGAAGTAAGTCTCCACCACACGTCCAGGAGCAATGTCACTCCTCTTCACAGTGCTTCTGCAACTCCCTTTGGCAGTTCCCCCTGTCAACCTAGGCACAAAAGCTTCTTTTGACTACTGGATGCAAAGCAGAAGCAAAGGGTCTTGATGAGGCAATAACACCTCTGAAGCCCAAAGCAACTCCCTGAGGCATAAGGTTGCCTAGGCTTGATCTTTAACTGGCCTTTTACGTGGGTTCTACAGATCCAGAGCCAGCCTGATGTAGTCAGTGAGAGCCAGTTTGGTCTAGTGGTTAAGGCATCAGGCTGGAAACCAGGAGACCGTGAGTTCTAGTCCTGCCTAGGCACAAACCCAGCTAGGTGACCTTGGCCCAGTCGCTTTCTCTCGGCCCTAGGAAGGGGGCAATGGCAAACTACTTCTGAAAAAACCCTGTCAAGAAAACTGCAGGGACCTGTCCAGGCAATCTCCAAGAATCAGATGCGACTGAACAGATAAATTAAAACAAAAACCACACAAACCCAAACCCTGAGACTTGCCTAACTTTGACTCCCCAGGCTTCCTTTCCCCCAGGCCTTGACAAAAACCAACACCTGACAAAAGAGACAACAGCCTGAACGATTAACAACTTTCAGGGCAAAGCCCTTTGGGGGACTTGCATCTCTAAATGAAAATAATCAAATCCATTACAATTTGACAAAACAGCTAATGGAGAGTGAGACTGGTAATTAACACACACAACCCAACTCTTTAATTTACGCTTCCCCAAACTTCAAGCCCAGCCAGGTCTCCACAATGGACCAGGCTTTGTGAGGCTCTTCCCTCCTTTTGTTAGACATTAAATTAGCTGAAATGGTAATTGCTGGATACAAGAGCAGCAGAAACTTTTGGATAGCATTGTCTCAAGCCATTCAGGCGTTTAAATCCAAGGAGTCAGGGCAGCCATCTGCAAGCCCTCCTTGTCTGGCAAGGGCTGCGCAGATCGTGGCAATGAATGAAAAAACATGTTCTGGCAGAGCGACAGAAAGAGACAAGCTACCTAACCAATCTTCCAAAGGTGGAGGAAGGAAAGGTCTGTATTTAACCAGCAGTGGTCAGCCTGCAGGGGGAGATATCTGGCTGCTTTTAGCCTCTTATTAATTTATTATACTGTATTATACTTTAATTCTGTATTATACTTTATTGTACTTTGTTCCTCTAAAACAGTGTTTTTCAACCTTGAAGTCCACGCATCTTAGAGTTCCCAAGGTTGAGAAACACTGCTCTAAAAGCTCAAGGCATCACATATGAGATTTCCCCCCTAATTTTAACCCCACAAACCACCATCTTGTAAGGGCTGAGAGAATGTGACTAGTCCAAAATTGCCCAACAAACTCAAGCGGTGATCTAGATCTGGTTCTCCCAGGTCCCACTCCAAGGCCTTGCCCACTGCACTGGTTCTCCTTTGTGATACCTCCCTTAACAGGTACAAACCAAGAGGCTTTGGAAAGGGGATATAAAGAATGCCGAGCTGGGAAATTCAGCCTGATTGGCAATTCCACTTTGTCAAAGGATAATACCAATAAAAATGCCCACTTGCTGCTTAGCAGGACATGATGAGAAGTCTCTGCTCAGTGAATCCATTCATAATGGTCCCTGAGTCGAAAATGTGTGTTACCATCCCATCTCTGTGTCTGTCACTTGGACTGGACAAGCCACCAGCAGAGGTAAACCTGGCTGGCAGATTCTCCCATATTGTCATTGCCAATACTCCATCCTGCCTATATGGCCAATATTCCACCAATACTCCACCCTACCCAATTCTAAGGAAGAAAAAAACGGGGCAATTCACTGACTCATGAACATTTCTTTAAGCTTGCTCACTACCCCTCTGACAGCTTGCTTAACAATAGAGCATTTTTTGCATTCTCGAGCTGTTTTCCAATTTCTCACACATCTTTACCTTAATCCTTTGTAAACCTTCTGTTTTAAAATTGGAACGTGGAGAGAATTTGGTATTTTTTGTGTTGCCTGAGGATCTATTCGGTTTCTGTTAGATTGCTTGTGTCTACAGGCTTGGCCAAAGTTTGGGCTTCCTCGAATGAGGACTTGTCACTTTACTAGGAATTGTTACTCCCTGTCTTGGGTTATAAATTCACCAATCTCAGGAGACGTTTTGGCCTGAAGACAGGAACACAGAGAACAGCAGCAGTTTCAAGTAAACTCAAGGAGACATGCTCAGCCCAGCCCAGCCCAGCTCAGCTCAGCTCAGCTCAGCTCAGCTCAGCTCAGCTCAGCTCAGCTCAGCTCAGCTCAGCTCAGCTCAGCTCAGCTCATATCAGAGGAATTGAGCACCTTCCTTCACATGTGTCTGCCACCAATTTCTTGGCAGGGGATACAGCTTTGCTTTCTTTTATCATGTTCAGCCATGTTAATAGGCGACAGTCAATCATGACATGAAAGGGAAAGCAAGGAAGCCATTCCTGAGTCAATCATCTGCCTATTTTGCTACTGTGAATATAGTTTAAGACATAGTCGCTGTTTTCACCCAGCATGCAACACCTCAAATTCAGGTTAAGAAATCATGGTTGTTGGGTTCACATAATATGCTCCCCCCCTCTCCTCCTCCATTATGGCCAAGTGCAGGAATATTAAATGCTAGAAAACAAAACAAAACATTTATCGACATTGAGGTAGTCAACAGATAAGCTGATTATAACTATGGGAGACCTTGCACTAGTTGTTGCCTCATTTTCATTTCTGCTGCACAGTATTTGCTACAATTTGGGTTATAAAAGATTTGAAGTCTGAGAAAAGTAACTCATAAAAAAGTTGTTCTTTCAGGGTACTGATGAAGCAGGAGTATAACATTAAGTGTTGCAGAAGTCCTTATAGATGCTACAGTAAAATAAGACATACTGAGCTGTCCCATGTGAGTAAATTCCTTTCTAGTATGGGTGTTAGAGTACCTTCCCTGTAATAGCGCTGAAGGCAAAATACTATGTCTATCCCAGAATAAAGCTTTCCTTAACTTGGGAAATGTAAGCAAGGAGAGAGAACTTGGCCACTTCCCAGATGCCCTTTGTCATCCAGGCCCTGCTTCCCTGTGCCATGCTACTTACCACCATCTGAAACCTGACATTGTTTAGTTCCTGCAGAAGTGTATGCTTTTGCTATCCCTCAAATAAGCAAGCCAATGGTTCTTATAATACACTACAGCAATGGTTGAGTTCCCACAACATACCGAAACTCAAAGTGCTCAGCCCATTTTACCTAGTCTACCTGGATTTACCTAGTGCAAATCCAGCCAACAGTATCCCAAGTCCCATATTCAAAAGGTTCTTCCTCAGAGATTAAGACTTGATCATAACCCTCCCATAATCTACATAGACTCCCAGTGGTTTGTAACAGTATACTGTTGTAAGCAATAAACTGTTATCTGCAGGATCCACAAAGTAGGGCCTTCTCAGTTGCTGTCCCCAGAAATTAGATTGGCCCCCACACTCCTGAGTTTTCAAAAAGTTATAAAGACCTGGTTCTTACAATGTGCCTTTGGGGCCTGATACATTATCTTGTTCCTTCCTGTAGGAGAATATCTGTATATGAAGTGTTTGTTAATGATGCCTGGAGTATTTTGGTTTTTATTTTTACAGCTGTTTTAATCCAATTGCTATATTGGGTATGTGTGCTATTCAGAGTCTACTATGATGCAAAGAGCCTATAAGCCCAGTGAATAAATTAAAGCCAGAGAAAACAGAATTAAAGCCAAAAAAAATCACAGATTCATCAGGCAAGAAACAGATGGCATCATTCCCCAAATGCCCTCAGGTACAAACCAATTTTTACTAGCTTGTGGGAGGCCATGAGGACGGCACTAGCCTGGCCTTGAGAAGAAGCTGGTTCCAAAGTGTAGGGGCTACAACAGAAAGACACTAACTGTAAGCCCCCCTCCCCTCCACCTCCTATACTGGGACCACTAATAGACTTTGCCAGGCAGCATGTACTGAAGGGGTCACTTCTGCATGGAAAAGGAGGTCCTGAGGGTGCCAAGTAATTAGTTTATATATGGCTTTTTAGGTAAAACCAGGATTTTGGATTTCCTCTGGAAACATCTAGGAAACCAACACAGAGCCCACAACACAGTTGTCATTTGGGTATTGTGACTTATTCACCAACCTGCAGGCTGCTGCATTTGAGATCAACTACAGACTAATTTAAAATGTCTTGAACTCCTTTCTCTACAGAGTTTAGTGCTACCCCTCACATTTTCAAGGCTTCAGTCTGCTGCTGTGACCAGAAGGATGGTCTCCAGCCATCCCACTTTCACTCACCAAGCTTGTGGCTTCCTCTTCACCATGCCCTGTCGTCGCCACTGAGAGTGGGGGCTCAGATGGTACGTCAGCTGCCTGCAGAGCTTCTCCATAGCCCCTAGTGAGTCCCCCTCCTGCAGCAAGAACAAAAGAGGAAGAATACTTATTGACAAGGAACCCATGCCAAGGAAATAGCCTGAAGGAGACTGTCTTTGTAAATAATGTGCAGGACTTCTTGAGAAGCTATCTTGATAGAGGGAAAGGAGACTAGACACAGAATAGCTTCTGCAAGACTCAGCACTCTCTGGATAAACAAGTAACCAGTTCCTAGCTGACTGAATGGGGGGAAGAAAAGGGTTTGAAGCTGGCAAGTCCTCTCTCCCCAGTGTTATCAATGCCACTTTTCTACAGACCAATTAGAATTTTAACATAAATTCCCAGTTTTATTGCAGGTACTCAAACTCTGGCAATCTAATCTGGTAATCTGAGCCAATATGGTCGATCCATCTCTTGCTATTGCCACTGTTTCTTCCAAGGTTTGATTATCGATTAAGATTTTTAGTCTGCTAAGCAGCAGCCTCAGATTGCCCCAGCCAAGCCCAGTGAGATATAGCCAGTGCTGAACCTGCGAGCACCACTGTCGATCAGACAACACCTTGCTTGCACCATTGTTACCTTAAAATGACACAAGGTTCTTAGAACTGATCTACCTCCATCTGGCTTTCACTCACTGTGCAGCATGTAATGGAGAAATGCTTAGCTCTGTTCGGTCATTGATTCAGGGAGCTCTGCAGCAAGGTTAGTATGCATAACATGTTTCCACTGGAGAAGAATTCTAGCCCACAGCCTCAGCAATGACTCAGGAAGTGCAATTACTTGGCTTGGCTCGCTATCTTTCACACAGAAGTTGCTGTGATTTCACCCTGCTACCAACCATGGCGGTTATGGTGGATTATGCACAGGGCGAATTCTACATGCCAGAACTCCCTCTGTGTGCAATGAAAGACTCTGTGCAGACCTCTCCAAGAGCCCATTAGAAAGATGGGTAAAGCAATCTACTAACGAAACAGCCTCATTTACTTATAGGAAGATTCTACTGCTGTGCTGCACTGCAAACATCGCTACATTTTCTCACATTCCTTGTAAAAAAGCAGTCAGAGGAAACACAGCAGATCCCAGGCAAAAAATCCAGGACATGGCGAGTTCAAAAGATAAACATCTTTATTTCAGGCAGGCTCTGGGAGGGATGGGGAGGTGCGTCCCCTTCCAAGCTGCATACATCCACAGGCTATCGCCAGTGGCACGCCTGGGCACGCCTCTTGATCTGGCAGCCCCCGCCATCCATTGCCAAGGAAGTAGCAACAGAGAACCAGAGGAGCAGCCAGAGGGGCTATGCCTCTCATATGCTGACCTAGTTCCTCTTCCATTAACTACAGTCCATATCAACCTTGTCCTCACTCTCCATGACAATATCATCAGATCATCTTTTTAACCTTTTCCTAATGATGCCCTACCAAAAGGACGCGAGCAAAGAAAACCCCACCAAAACATGGCTAGCAGGGCCCAGCGGTGCCTTCTGACTGGAATACACAGTTGCTCAAGAACATGTGGTAGGGAGAGGGAGATAGCTGTGCAGTTGTGTGGCTGCAATCAAATCAAAGACACCGATTGTATCGGAGCAGGAGAGGGTGGAATAGAAGTCCCCAAGCCAAACGGGACAAATAGATTGGGCTGCCTGACCAAAAAAACAAGTTCAAATAGCAGAACTTCCAATATAACAAGTCTGAGATTAAGCAAATGGGCATAAAGCAACATCCTATTAAAGCCAATGATGGAGGGAAAAAAACTTAGCAGAGCACATCCTAATGCTGAGGATTCAGCTCAGTTTCCTCCAACAGAACCTGCTTTGACCCAAAGGCAGCAGACTTTTTATTAGTATTTATTTGCTGATTAATATCCTGTCGTTCCTCCAAGTGCCCAAGATGGGATACATCATACTTTTGTTTCACCATTGCAACGATCCTGTTGGTCTGAGAGAATGATCTGCCCAAGAGCCTTCATGGCTGAGTGTGGATTTGGATCTGAGCCTCCCAGGTCCTAGTCCAACACTGACACTCTTCTCTGATTTAGACATGGAACTATCATTGCCAAATCTCTCCACAGCACAAAGTAGCCATCATTTTCTCACTAGATCCATTTCTGCTAACTGTCCCACGTCCAAATAATGCCTGGGGATAATGCTTCCTATTTTAATCACGGAATCAGAGCTGAGTATTCAAAGTGAATTAAAAAGTCTAAGTGAGATACATAGCTGCAAATGCTAAGTCCTGGGAATGTGGAAAACATTTTAAATTTGTATAGTTTCAAGTTGTCTGTGGTTGTTTTGATTTTAAATTAGGTTGTTCCAACCTTACTGGACGTTTTCAAATGCTGTTCTCACCATTCTGGAAGTGTTTCCCACTCAAAGTAGGGCTGTTTGAGGTTCCTAACCCTTCTTGAAGGGTCAAAACTGCTTTGGAACACTTTCAGGAAAACCAGGGCTGTCCATGTTAAACCAGGAACAGAGAGTTTTGAATCTGAAAGTTAACATTGTAACAACTTGGCTCACTTTCATCTTGCTCAATGGGAAGTAGACAGAACTTGTTATTTAAGACCTGCAATTCCCAGAGATAAAGCCCCAGCGAAGGGCCCCTGGGGGAATGCTAGTTCTATGCCTCCCAGTCTTCACTTCCTAAGCTGCCTCCCTCCACTCCTTTAATTTATCATCTTCAAGTGTCGCAACTAAAAATGGGTGCTGGAATGTTATCAGTACTGGGAACTCAATGCTACAGAGCTGCAGCCAGTAAAATTCCAGGCACGCATTGAAGTCTGCCTGATTTTCCATATTAGGGGTAGAGAGGAACCTCTCCCACCCAGATTTAGTCATACGCCTCATCTCTTTGCTAGGTTGGGAACAACTAACTGTAGTACCCGTGCTCTTCACCTATGGCATGCTAACTGTCTGGAAGACAAATATTGTTTGGGTAGGGGTAGCATGAACATTGCAGAATTTCCTGATTTTCAGCAATGTTTCTGCTGTTCAAACATGGTCTTTAGGGCCAAATACTGTTGTTAGTATCCTCCACTTTGGACCGGATCCATCCGAGTTCTCATCACAGGGAATTTGTAAAGCTGAAATTAACCACTGCCTTTATTTCCAAGTCAAATACCTTTCTTGGAAAGAGATGTCATAGAAAGGTTTTAAAAGTCCCTGCTATGCTAGGAAATCTCCTTTTTGGCAGGTCACTTTCCTACATTCTTAGGGAATTTAATCCATTCTGGGAACCTGGAGTTCTAACCCCAGGAGGGAGGGAGGGGAGGGGTTTTTGGCTGCTCAGAAAAGCATTGGTTTATGCCCAGAAATACTGTGTAACATGTTCAAAAATTTAAAAATGTGTGTTCCCTAGCTGAGAGCTTGCTTGCCCTGAGCTTCATGCAGAAACAAAAAACCCAACTTTAGTGGCAGCTTCTCAGTCTATTTCTAAAGAAATACGTTGGTGGGTGGGTGGGAGAAGTATGAGCAGGATATGCTGGCGAAGGCCAGATTCCCTGGGCCCACCATCCACTCCCAGGGAAGTAATTAATTACTCTATTGGATCAACCCCCTACTGAATTTGGGCATGAATTATTTATCAGGTCCTGTGAAATATTCATGGTGACCTATTTTACATAACAAGGCAGGCCCTTGCTGTAGGTTGCCTAGTAGCATATACCTATGGGTTGAAAACCTGATCAGGAAGTTTTTTGGAGAAAGGGAATTGACGTTTTGGAGAACTTGGCTTACAATTATAAGACATGCCAATATTATTCTCAAGGTTTGTTTGTTACTGATACTTTTTAAAATTAAGCTTAGCAGCCACTCACCAAACTTTCTCTCTTGCATACATCCTTGACACTTGTTCCCAATTTGTAATGACCCTAAGCAATTTCGAAGTCCTTCAGCTAGCGAGTTCAAGTATTCTGAGACTGAATTCTCTAGGCACTTGGCACAGCTGTGGATAGTAATATCTCCCAAATAATACCTCCTACTCATATACGCTTTAGAGCTTACCCCTCCTAGTGCCCAACAACTCTTATTTTGCTCAAATGCACTGATACACAACAGCACTTAATTAAGTGTCCTCAAGTCATGTCGACTTTTAACACATGGATAGATTCTCCCCAGAATTATCTGTCTTCAATTTGGCCTTTTAGATCTCTCACTGGTACATTCACTGCTGCTGTAACTGAAGCCATCCATCTTGCCTCTGGACGTCGTCCTTTTCTTTTTCCCAACTTTTCCAAGCATAATGGACTTCTCAAGGGAGCTGAGTCTCCACATAATGTGTCCAAAATATGATAGCAAAGCAGCAGAGTGTTGTGGATCAAGCATGGACAACCAGAGGCTCACAAGCCCCTTGTTTAAAGCTCTAGCAGCCTCTTCCGACTATGACTACTAGAAACTGAAGGCAGTGTCTTCCACATTTTTTGAGGTCTGAAACAGATGAAACAATAGTGTAAGCCCTAACATTAAAAAAATGCTACAGTATATCTGAGACATGTTTGACTCTTGGTGATTACACAGACATGCCATTTTTTCAGGTATTAGATGGAAGTGGGTTTATTGTTACTTTCTTTTCTCAGATTTTTTCAACTTCCCAGTTTGATGTACATCCACAAGATTTCTAGCTAGACTCCCATCCATACTTAAAAATAAAAAAAATCCTAACCAGAGGTCCAGTTCTGATAGCTTGTGACATTCAGTTTAGTGCTGCCACTAAAGCTCTAGGCAGGTATGTATATATGCATGCATGTATGTGTGTGTGCATGTATGTGTGTGTGTGTGTATATATATCCTATTGATTGATTAAATGCCATCAAGCTGTTGTCAACTCTTAGTGACTAGATAGATAGATTTCCTTCAGGAGGAACTGTTCTTAACCCAATCCTTTGGGTCTTCCAATAGTGTATCCATTGCCATTGTAATTGAGTCCATCCACATTGCTGATCATCCTCTTTGTCTCTTTCCTTCTACTTTTCCCAGTATTAGAGCCTTCTCCAGAGAGCTAGGTCTTTGCATAATATGTCCAAAGTGGGATAATTGTATTTTGTACCT